CAACAGCCAGTGTACTGCCTGCCAGCCTTGAGCTCCTCAGCCCTTGTGATTGCAAGAGTCGGGAAAAGCCTCCAGCTTGACATGGAAAAGCTTCCAGCTTGACGTTTGATCCAGGAAATTTGGACTTGCCAGCTTCTATAAGTATGTGAGCCATTTTCCTAAGATAAATTTACCTCTCTATATACAAATATATAAGCTTTACTGTTTTTTGTTTCTCTTAGAGAACCCAGTCTAACACAGATATGTTTTAATACATAAAAAATAGCCAAATCATTAAAATTTACTCTGAAGATGAAGAAGAGTTGGAAAACATTGGAATTTTGTCAGTTACTATAATAACTCCACTTGTGGAAGGTTCAGGATCATCTGGATTATCCCTAGGAATGAGGATGATGGTGTTTCTAGTCAGAACATTAGTGACTAGAAAAATTTTCTTCATATATTTCATGGTAACATCTCACTGCTTTCCAAATCTGCCTACTGACTTGAGCAAAGCAATCAATGTTTGGGTCCATGTTTTCAAACAACTGAAGCCCCTGATTTAGTTTAGATAACTGTAAAAATGGCATAGGGGAGACATCAGACCTTCTCTAACTTCATGAGGGGGAGGTCAATCAAGATCAGCCCAGGGCTGATTCCTGAGAGGCGGAGTTCAGAGTTGCCTCCACCCCCCAACCTTTGTACCAATTCTGACACCAACTTTCCTTCCCATGGCACTCTACTTCTCTGCTGGGTTTGTTAATTTGTTGCCATGGCCACAGACAGCTCATAGACCATACTCATGATTATGGGTTTGTTAGGGAAATAATAGGTAACTAGTCACGATCGGGAAAGCTCAAGCTACAGTTCTTCAATCAGGACAGCCTCTTCTCAGTTGTGCCTCAAGCATGCCTCTCCCTGGTCCTTGGCCTTTCAGCCCCCTGGCCCCTTTGCCTCTGCCCTGCTTGGGTAAGTGTTAAACAAAGCTCTTTTAGCTCTACTGGTAAGTGCCTGAAGTCACCCCACTCCACCAGCAAGCCTTCTCCCTGAAGGTCCTCAGCTTTCTCGCTCTGTGGGCTGGAAGCCCACCTCATGCTGGTCTCTTGGTTTTACTGTCTCTGCTGCTGCCATTTCTCTGCCCCTGGTTCACGTTATCTCTCTCCATCTTTCCCCGTCTCTGGTGTCACAACTCTCTGCCTCCTGGATTGAGGAGGTTCAGTGCAGGGATCTTGGGTCCGAGAGATGAACTCCACTCCTGGGTCTTCTTTCTTGATGGTAATGAGATTCCTCACTTACTGCCTTTGGGATGGCTCATTGCAAGCCCAGCAGGATGGCAAAACTGACCAATCCCCGTGTTAGGGTTCTGTACATCTTATTTGCATGATCCCACCCCTACCAAGGTACCATGCACCTTATTTACATTATTGACAAGCTATCTGATCCCCTTGGTGGTCACAAGCACCTTACATTTGCATAGTCCCTCTTAGTCATTTGGTGGCAGTTACAAAGACTATGGCTAGAAGGGCCATATAAAGTAATGCACTGTACCACAAAAATGAAATATATACAGCAACGTTTTGAACAGTAAATCATAAAATTGATTATCTGTGAGTGAACATCTGAGAAAGATAACATCATCAAATCACATGCTGTAACACTGTATGGAATACGTATTACTGATGATAAGATGTACCAAAGAAAAGGATGTCCAGTCATCAGGGCAATTTGTCGTAACTTGAATATGTTGTAAGTTGGGGACTACCTGTATTTACATATGAAAAAAGACTGGGAAGCTTAATATAAAAACACTAACAGTGATTGTTTCTGAGTGATGAGATTACAAATGACTTCTATAATCTGCCTTGATATTTTTCTGTAGTTTCTACTTTCTCCAGTGAATATAATGAGAAAAAGGTGTTTTTTTTTTTTTTTGAATACCGGTTTTGTGAGGCAGAGCCATGCATAGATAAGGAAATGCTGAATGTGCCCAGGAAGACAGGGGTGACTGTGATGGACTGGCCCAGAACAGGAGATCTGAGTTCATGTCCTACTGATGTCATTCATTCATTCATTTGTCCACCCATCCATCCATCCACCCATCTCCATCCATCTATCCAATCATAACAAATACAGTAAAACATGCAAAAGCTGGAACGTATCTAGTTAGGCAGAAACCTGTCAGAAAAGGAAGATGCAAATATTTTTCACTAATAGATAGTGACAGAAAAGTGGTGAGACTACTCTGTCAATGGCAGAAAACTTGAGAAACCTGTTGAGTTCCAACTCACATACGTCTCACTGTAGTTACGAGCACCTGCTCTGTACCAGGCCCTGGGGCCACAGCCGTAGCCAAGGTAGCTGCAAATCCTGCCCTGGGGAAGTGGGTGTCCTCGGATAGTATGGGGTAATTACACATAACTGCATCGCGGTCCCACTTCTCGTGCCTTTATTGCGACCAGTGCAGGTATGAGGGCTGCTTACCCTGCTCTCTGTAACGCAGTGGGCATTTGTACAGACAGTTCCATTGAATCCCTGGGTCACCTTGGCAAGTGTGGCAGGTGGGGACACATCAAAGACCTTCTGGGTCAGCTTGCTGTAGGCTAAGCCAGAACTGACCCTCAAAGGGGGCAGGAAGATTTGTGGGACACATCATTGTTTTCTGCTTGATGCATCGTTTTTTGTAACTGAGGGACCTCAGCACGTCTCCAAAGCTTTTGTTTCACTCCCCACCTTCACAAACGTGCTGGGAAGATTATTATGAAAAAAAAAACAAACCAAACTCACTGCTGTCAGTCGATTCCGACTCATAGCAACCCCTCTTTGGGTTTCTGATGTGGTATCTCTATGGAAGTAGATTGCCCAGTCTTCCTTCTGAGGAGTGGCTGGTGGGTTTGAATCTCCAACCTTCTGGTTAGCCTTAGGCACTATGCCACCAGAGCTCTGAGGAAGACTATATATATATATGTATATGTGTGTGTGTGTGTATATATATATATATATATATATATATATATATTTAATTTTTAAGTGAGAAGCAAGTTATGATGATCACTATGATGCTGAGAGGAGCCCTGGTGGTGCAGTGGCTAAAACATTCAGCTGCTAACTGAAAGGGCAACAGTTTGAACCCACCAGCCACTTCTCATGAGGAAGATGTGGCAGTCTGCTTTCGGAAGGATTACTGCCCATAGGGACAGTTCTGCTCTGCCATGAAGGGTCACTATGAGTTGGAATCAACTTGATGGCAGTGGGTGTGATGCTAAGAATATGTTCAGAACCACCTCGTGCCCTCCTCCCTCTCCAGAAAGGATCCCTTTCCGAGGCCCAACTGGTCAAAGAAGAATATTTATCCTATAATTATTTGAGCCAGGCAGCCTGGGTGTAGGTCCTGGCTGTGCTGCTTCTTAGCCATATGGATTTAGGTAGGTAACTTTGTTGCTCCTCTGTGCCTCAGTTTCCTCATCTGTAAAATGGGTTTGCACAATAGTCCAAATCTCAGAGCACTGTGGTGAGAGTTAAATGAATGAGTCTATGTGAAGGGTTCAGAGGAGCGCCTGCCACACAGGACGTGCACCAATTACCACTTGAACATGCTCTCCATGAACAGACTTGACAGAGGTTGCAAACTGGTGGCCCCTGGGCCAAAGCCAGTCCTCAACTCAGTTTTATCTGGCCAAGGGCATATTTTCCAAAACATGGGAAATGCTTGGCTCCATCTTAAAAAGTCCGCATGAATATGTGGCTTTGTGGGCACCCTGGCTGTGTTTCCTGTGTGGCAGATATTTTGGGGGCAGTTGAACCTCAGCCACCTGTGAGCACCCCCACACCTGCTGGGCATCAGAACCCCTCATGGGTGTTACTTTTACAGCCACTGCCTTGTGACAGATTCTGGGATAGTCCAGACCAGAGCTAGTACAGTTGATTTTTAGTATCACCTTTGTTCCCATTTTATAGACAAGCAAACTGACCCTCAAAGAAGCTAGGCCACTTGGCCAAAGTCCCATAGGTGTGTAAAGGGCAGACCTGGGCTTGGAACCCAGCTTTGGGTGATACCACAGTCCCGGCCCTGCTCCTCGGGCCTCTCACAGGTGTCCCCAACTTATGTCTATCCAGGTTTCGAGTTCTTCGAGGCCAGCGCCAAGGAGAACATCAACGTGAAGCAGGTCTTCGAGCGCCTGGTGGACGTCATCTGTGAGAAGATGAATGAGTCCCTGGAACCCAGCTCCAGCCAGGGCAGCGACGGGAAAAGCCCAGCCCTGGGGGACACGCCACCTCCCCAGCCCAGTGGCTGCAGCTGCTAGAGATGACCCTCCTCACCCCACCCTTGCCCCCTCCTGCCTCCGCAGGGACTCTGACTGCAGCACGAGCCACAAGGGCTGTTTCCTAGCTCAGGGCGCCCCTCCCCTCTCATCAGCTGCCCCCGCCTCGCATGGTTCACCTCTTGCCGAGGCCAGGCCGCCAGCCTGCTCCAGCAGCCCCTGTCCGAGCTGCAGGCCCTGAGACTGCATTGCAGGCGGGGCTTGAGGGTGTCCATGTGCACGAGCTTGCTGCTTTTCAAGGCATTTCAGCCCGGTAGCCTTGGTGGCAGGTCATACCCACGTGGGTGGAGGGGAGCCGCAGTGCCTTCTGGGTTACAGACATCTTCCAAGTCCATACTGTGCTGAGCGCCATGTGAGGTTCACAAGCTGGCTGAAGGGGATTCTTCTCCAACCTGCAGTTTAGCTCTGGGAGTTGATGTGGAAGGTGACACTTCAGCTTTCTCAGAGCCTCTGGTCCCTGAGCCTGCCCCACCAACCTCCTCAGCCCCTAAGGCTCCAGGGTGGGGATGGCAAGATGACCACCACCCTCTCCCTCTGGCCCTCAGCCCCAGTGCCTGGGAAAGCAGTCTCAAAGCAGCTTTACCCAGGGTAGAAGGGACGGGAGTCGCAGCCCCCTCACTTCAGGAACCCCAGAAGTGCCTTTCTGAGCTCAGAATTCCATGGCACCTGTGACCCTGTCATTGTTTCCGCTTCTCCCCCGTCTTCTCTGATCCTGTGTTGAGTTACAGAAGCATGGGCATCATCAGGCCTGACAGCCACCCAACTCCTGGCACTGCCGTGTGGGGCTTTTTGCCAGGAGTTGCCCTTAGTGAGGAGACAGGCTGCCCTTCCAGACCTGCCTCCCTCTTGGTCTCTCTTGGCTGGGTGGGTTTGAAGCAAGGTCTTTCCAAATCATACATCCTGCTAGAAAAGGAAATTGAGAAATGTTACCACAGCCTGTAGTCATCAGCAACTTTGTGATGTAAAGACTTGAGCTTCTCTGGAGGGTCCTTGGAAGGCATTTCGTTTCACTCACAGGGCCCAGAGATGTGACATTTTGTGCTCATGGAGGGGTCAGGTCTTAAGAGCTGCTGGGGCTGGGCCAAAGGAGTGAGAAGGTAGCCTTTTATAACCTTGCACTTCATGGACCCAGCTTGGGAAGATCAAGGCCCTTCTGCCGATGGGGGGTGGACTGTGAATTTCCCTGGCTGAGGCACTGTCTTGAGTTTGAGAGGCTGGGGACCCCAGCTGTCAAGTGCTCCCACTGGGAGGTTAGATGTACATTAAGCATATAAATCTTGGCCCCTACTCAGCAGCCCTTCTGCCCACTGGAGTCCAATCTCAGGCACCATGGCATCTCTTTCTGCCGTGGAGCACCAACTGATCCCCATAACATGACAGACACTGTGAGGAGAGCTTTGTGTTCCCACCACCCTGATGGTGGCCACCCTTCTCCCAGCTGTGGCAGCCAATATGGCTTCCTTCAGCCAGCATCTCAGAAGACCTCAGGCTACCTCCTGGGGGATGGGGAAGGCCTGGTTCAAATTAGGATGTAGCTCTTGCCTTTGTAGAATCCCTGGCAAATAGTGTGCTTGGCTGCTAACCGAGAGCTTGGAGGTTTAAGTCCACCCAGGGGCACCTTGGAAGAAAGGCCTGGTGATCTGTGTTTGAAAAATCAGTCATTGAGAAATCTGTGAAGGCTGGTTCTGCTCTGACGCTCACGGGGTCATCATGAGTATGAATTGACTCAACAGCAACTGGTTTAAGAGTGGTTTTTTTTTTTTGCCTTGATTTATAGGGGCTTTGTTAGCTGTTGTCAGAGTCAGCCCCTGACTCATTGTGACCCCATACACAATGGATTGAAACGCTGCCTGACCCTGCGCTATCACCGTGATTGGTTGTGGATTGGATTGTTGTGATTTGTAGGGTGTTCATTGGCTGGTTGATGGAAGTGGGTTGCTAGGCCTTTCTTCTTAGTCCTTAGGAAGCTTTGATGAAACCTGTCCAGCATCACAGCAATGTGCAAGCCTCCAGTGACAGACACGTAGTTGTCCGTGAAGTGCACTGAGTGGGAATCAAACATAGGCCTCCCACATGGAAGGGTGAGAGGCTCTAGGTCAAATTTATTTCTAGGGGACCCCGTTCACCTCCTAACCAGGGTCAGCCCCTTGGAGCTTTGTAGTGAGGGTATCCTTGTACACCAACTAATTAGATGACCTGGATGAAATGGACAAACCCCTAAAACCCACAGAATGAGGGTATCTGAACATCTCGGGCAGCAATCACAACTTTTAATTGCTTTAACATTGAAGTCTTCTTAAGATGCAACAGGCTTAAGGTGCACCATGGCCTATCAAGGTGCCATCTGCTAGTCTCTTTTTGCTATGCTGCTGCCAGAAAGAATGGTGGATCAGAGAACCTTTATCCAAGGGGCAATGTCACTGCCTGTGTGATGTAGAGTGGCTTTGGCTGCATCTTGGGCCTGGCCGAACATTGCAGTTTACACAATACTTTTCAACAGTTCAGCCTCAGGTAATGACTGGGCGTCCTCAGGCATCTCAAAGCTGGAAATGACTGTAGCAGACAACTTTGTTTCTTCTACAAATAATGCAAGTTTTTACTTCATAATTTTTCTTGGAGGGAGGTAGGGGTGAGGAATTCTTTGTAAAACAAAGGGGTTTCTGAGGACCCGAGATGGCTCACTGGGCAGATGGAGGTTCACTGAGTTTACAGATAAAAGTAAACCCACAAGGCCAAGTGACCAAAGCTGTCCAACTCTAGAGAGAATGAGGGTCTGAGTCCTGCCCTGTGCCTTTGCCTTTGAACACTCCAATTAGCAGCTTGTCTTTCTGTGGGCGGTTTCGGTGATGGTTTAAGTTCTTTGTTTCTTTCTGGCTTCTCCATGTTCTTGTATTTCTCCCACTTCTAGGAGTAGGTTCAAATAAGAGGTGAAATCTGGGCTTAATGTCAAAGCGATAATTCTGCTCCTATGTTCTTCTCGGCCAATCCTGAAACACACTACGGAATGAGCTTTTGGGCCTGGTAATTTAAATCCCGTGTAAGCAATTCCTTGATGTGTAATTTGTAGAGACATGCACTTTTCTCTACAAGAAAAAGAAAATTAAAGCCGTTATGCCCAAGTGTGTTTGTTCTTTCACTTCTGTTAGTGAAATGGGGCTTCCAGGAAGAGGGCGTGGAATCGCAGCCAAGGGGATGTTTGCTTGAGGACCAGGCATGATGCCGCAGAACCCGGAGAGGCTCGGGCTTGCCATCACCTCAGTCGTGGTGACCTCAGTTGTGTGGGGGCAGGGAGAGGGGAGAAGATCTGTCCATCTCGCAGGGGCCAGTGGGCACCTGTGAATACCTGAGTCAGGTTCTGCCGGTTCTCTGCTCAGAATCCTCCGTGGCTTACCACATTAAACCAAAAACCAAAGCCAATGCCGTTGAGTCAGTTCTAACTCAGCAAGCCTATAGGATAGGTAGAACCTCCCCCTAGGGTTTCCAAGGCTATATCTACTTCTGTAGTGATACTGCTTTGGAAACCCAAGGAGGGATCGCTATGAGTCGGGGCTGACTTGACAGCACATAACAACAACAACAACAAATGTTTATGGAAGCAGACTGCCTCATTTGTCTCCCATGGTGCATTCAAACTAACAACCTTTTGGTTAGCAGCCAAATGCTTTAACCACTACGCTTTAACCCGGCTACCACTTTACCCAAGTCCTCCCCACAGCTCATAAGTCTGCGCCATCTGTCTCCTCACCTCCCAACCCTCGTCTCCTCCCACTTGCCCCTCACTTGCTCAGTTCCAGCCACACTGGTCTCCTCACCACTATTTGACTGTATCAGGCTCTTGACTGTGGGAGTTTGTACTAGCTGTTCCCACGGCCTGCAGTGCTCTTTCCCCAAGGGGCCAAATGGCTCCTCCCTCACTCCTTTTTCAGGTCTTTGCTCAAATCTCAACTTCTCACTGACCCCTTGCTTAGTATCACAACCTCAGGCTCTGACCACAGCCCAGGCCACCAAGTCAGAAGATAGGAGATGGTCCCACGCTTGGGTTGTTTGTTAAAGCTCCCAAGTGATTCTACTGGGAACGAGCACTAGTGATTTGCAGCCAAGGTGGAGAGGGACAAGGTATAAGATGCCACAAACAAGCACTTGCAGAATGTGTGGCATCATTCCTCAGGGCGTTTCATGCTCCAGCCAATCAGGGCAGATGGAGGAAGATCCTAGAGTAGTGGCTCTTACAGTGTGTTCCCCAGACCAGCAGATCACATCACTAGGCAACTTGTTTGGAATGCAGGTTCCTGGGCCCCATTCCAGGCCTACCTAATCAGAAGCTCTGAGGGTGGGGCCCAGCCACCTGCATTTTAACCATCCCTTCAGGGAATTCTGACGTAGGCTCCAGTTTGAGAACTACTGGACTGGAATAAAAGAGACTTGATGATAATATAACCAAACATGATGTGTGGACCTTGCTTCGATCCCGATTCAAAGAAATCAAAGGTATAAACACATTTTTTAACCAAATGGGAAAATTTGGTAATGGCTTGGGTATTAGGTGATACCAAGGAATAGGCTGTTAATTGTCTTATGTGTGATAATGACATTATGGTTATAAACACAAATAATATTATTAAAGATGTGTACTGAAGCATGAAAGAAGAAATGACATATTGTCTGAGATTTTGTTATAAAATATTTCCTTGTTATGGGTTGAATTGTGTCTCCTCAAAACTTGTGTCAACTTGGCTGACCATGATTCTCAGTGGTTTAGAAGTTATGTAAGATGCAGAAGTTACGTAAGATGGAATGGGGAAGATATGTCATGATATGCCATGATGTGATCTGATGTGATAAGCTGATAAGGTGTGAAAGGATTAAGGGTTGGTTGCGACACCCTTGGTCCCATCACAGCCCTGATGTGATGTAAGGAGAGCTTCCCTGGGATGTGGTCTGCAACACCTTTTATCTTACAAGAGATAAAAGAGGGAGAGGGAGCAGAGAGGGGGACCTACTACCATCACGAATGAGAAGCCAAGAATGAAGCACGTCTTTTGGACCCAGGGTCCCTGTGCTGGTACCCTCCTAGGATCTAGAAACACACAGAGAGAAAGGCTTCCTGTAGAGTTGGTTCTCTGAACTCAGACTTCTAGGCTCCTAAACTGTGAGAGAATATATTTCTGTTTGTTAAAGCCATCCTCTTGTGGTATTTCTGTTCTAGCAGTACTAGAGAACTAAGGCGTTCCTCAAGGGAAGAAAGGGAAGAGATGAAAAAAGTATGTCAAAATCTTAGTAAGTATTCTATGTTGGTGATGGGTATATGGGAGTTTTTTTTTTTTTTTTTTTTTTGCTGGCTTCTCTCAGCTTTTGTGAACATTTTAGGATTTTCACACACACAAAAATTTAAAGAACATTAGTTATGTGAGAAGGAAGGCTGTGCCATAACATTCAAGTGTTTAGCTGGTATGAAGATAAAATTAAGAAGCAAGGAGTCGAGATGGGCAGGGTCTCCTGAATCTTTTATTAGCAGCTGCCCTTGGCAATGAGAGCCACAGAGAAATAGAAATGAGACCAACTCCACAGCAGCCAGCTCAGACCAGCTGCCCTGTGCTCCCCAGGCCTGCAGATCAGCCCAGCTTGACAAACAGCAGCAAGGTGGCAAGAGTTCCTGGCAGCTGAAATGAGAGAAGAAAGAGACATTGAACCAACTCTCAAACTCAAAACCAAACGCACTGCCACTGACTTGATTCCCACTATAGTGACCCCCATTGTGTTTCCAAGGCTGTAAATTTTACCGAAGTAGATTTCCCCATCTTCCTCCTGAGGAGCAGGTGATGGGTTTGAACCACTGACAACTCTAGGCATCTCCAAACCAGGATCAAGCCAGAGATCCAAGGAGGGGGAGTTGAACAGAGTATCTTGTTCCAGAAAGACCAAGGGTAGAGTTTTAGAGATGACTGAAGGTCCATGAGGGCCAAGCTTCAGTCTTATGAATCTCAGAGATGGGTAGAAGGGAGGTATTTTGTCATGAAACACATCAGTCATTCTCCTTTTGCTTCTTCAAGATCTTCCCTCGATCCTCCTCTACCCTCTCCCAGGCTATACAGACTACATTTCTCAGACTATCCTGCCCTTCACTTCCTGTTAGGTTTGGCCAATGGATGCACCAGCAGGAGATGGAGAGCAAGGGGAGAGAAAGCTCAGAGTATTTCTTTCCCATTCCCTCCTTCTGCCCACCCCAAGTCCTCCATGACCCAAGCTGTAGGCAGATGGCCCCTTATCCTCAGCTCTTACTCTTCCTCTCCCATTCTCAGATCCTTCAGGCCTAGGAGAAATAAAAGCTCCCTGTGCTGCCAGCACCAGGGTGCCTCAATATCTCTCCTTATTTCCCTTAACCTAACCAATGTCTCTCCAAGGAGGCCCCTGAAAGCTTCTTCAATGGGCCATCTGGGGCTGAATTCTGTTTCCTACTGGGATCCTGACTGTTATGACCTCCTTGTGGAGATGAGCATTGTAAGAATGTGTTGCCAAATGCAAGGTCACAGAAATTTTCCTCTATGAGTTCTATCATTTTAGTGGTGTGAGGTAGGGATCCAACTTCATTCTTTTGCACATGGCTATCCAGTTATCCCAGAACTATTTGTTAAGAAGGCTGTTCTTTCCCCATTGTATTGTCTTGGCACCCTGCATGAAAATCAGTTGACCCTAAATGTTAAGGTTATTTCTGGACTCTCAATTCCATTGATCTATATATATCTACCCTTACACCAGGAATGCACTGTTTTGATTACTGTTGCTTTGTAGTACATTTTGAAATCAGAAATTTTAGTTCTCCAACCTTGTTCTTTTTCAAGATTTATTATTATTATTATTATAAAACAAAAACAAACCCATTGCTGTCAAGTCAGTTCTGACTCATAGTAACCTTATAGGACAGAGCAGAACTGCCCTGTAGAGTTTCCAAGGCTGTAAATGTTTATGGAAGCAGATTACCAAAGACTGCCATAGCTTTTACCTGTGGTGAGGCTAGTGGGTTCAAACCACTGACCTTAACCACTGTGCCACTAAGGCTCCTACTTTATCATTATAAACCAAACCAAACAAACAAACCCATTGCCATTGAGTCAATTCCAATTCAGTTGTTGTTGTTGTTAGGTGCTGTCGAGGCATCTCCAACTCATAGTGACCCTATGTGCAGCAGAAGGAAACACTGCTTGGTCCTTGCCAACCTCATGATCCTTGTTATACTTGAGTCCATCATTGCAGTCACTGTGTCTATCCATCTCATTGAGGGCCTTCCCCTTCTTGTTGACTCTCCACTTTACTAAGCATGCATGATATCCTTCTCCAGGAAATGGTTCCTTCTGACATGACCACAGTAGGTGAGATGAAGTCTGGCCATTCTCGCTTCCAAGGAGCATTCA